GGTTATATGGCTAGTGGTGAACAAATTAATTTACCCGTCCGATTTTTATATTGGCCATGGCAGTAGGGCTTGTGGTTAATCGTAATTAGAGACATAGTCTTGGTGGGGTGTCATGTGCATCAGATTTTTGTCAAATATAATTTATTTCTCTGCGGAACAGCTTAATCCCACATATTTACATGATAGGATACATATTTTTAAAATATATGAAAAGGAAAATGGATGTCCCAGATGCTCACCGCTACTACAAAAGGATCGAAGTGCTATATGCACATATCATTGGCCAAATTAACGACATGTCCTAATCAGTGTTTTTAAAACTTCTCAGAAAAATATTGACGGAAATGAGGAATGAGTAGTGAAAAATAAATGAAAACGGAACGACTCTGATTATAAAAACGGATGTTAGATATACTGTAGATTTGGGTTGATATAAATATAAACAATGTTATATTTTTGTCCAGTTTCCCAGGTTAAATAATTAAAATAAGAAGGTATTCACCTTACAGCTTCATTTTCCGGCGATGCTGAAATATATAAATGATATAAAACAGGATAAGCGTCTTGGACCTACTTTATCTCTTTATTCGGATACTTGCGGATATCTTCTCAAAGTTCAACGGGAATATAAGAAAAGAACCCGGATAGAACCAAGAAGTTGGGTTTCTATAACCAAACAACCCGGATGTTGAACCAGTTACCATGTCCTAATTTGGTGTAGATAAAACTTCTAGAAAAATATAGAGGGAAATAAGGGATGAGTGGTAAAAAATAAATGAAACTGACAGTTTCTTTCCAACTGATTTGATGCAAATACATGACAAATAAAAATAAGGTGTATAGGAAAACATGACCTAACACCTCATTCATATAAGATGCAAATACATGGAAGCTGAATGGTTGAATGTGTTCATTTTGAAAATAATAGTTAAAATGTCAAAATCACAAAACAGCCGTTGGACTATGAGTATGACTTTTGAGCAAATTTGGAGGGAAATGGGGAGTAGAGGGGGTCAAATAGTGTTCAAGGGAAGCAAATGCTCTTTAAATTATTCGTGTTTCAAAAATTGAGGAAAAATTACAGGGAAAGTTGGGTCAAAAACAGCCGTTGGACTATTAGTATGACTTTTGAGCAAATTTGGAGGGAAATGGGGAGTAGAGAGGGTCAAATAGTGTTCAAGGGAAGCAAATGCTCTTTAAATTATTTGTGTTTCAAAAATTGAGGAAAAATTACAGGGAAAGTTGGGTCATCTTTTCAGACTTTAGTTAAATAATGACTAATGTACTTACCTTCTATAAATTCTATCCAGGATATACAAAAAAATCACAACTCAGAACAGGAACAATAACACTATGTCTATTTTACTTTGACTACTGATCTGCAAACCTACAAACAGACACAAAAATATCATAAAATAGTGAAATATAAGATTGATTGCACTTTGTATGGATAATTCCCACACGTGTTACATGGGGAGCCGGTTTGTTTACAAATAATAATGTCACGTGATCGCGCACTGACGTCACAAATTTGCATCGCCCTTACAATACACTACACAATTCACACATACATAACCCATTTATCATGCAAAGTGAATGTGATTGGTTGTCAAATAATACAAAAATATCGCATGTACAGTTAATGAAGAAATTAGTTCATCAAATAGAGAGAAGATTTTCACTCATGACACAAATCGACTGGGTTAACATTTCTGTCATCGGGGATAATTGATAAATGGGATCAAACTGACCGTCAAGAAGGTCTAGAGAACCACCCCTGCCTCTGGAGAACCTTAACATTAATAAGTAATACTTACCAAAATTACTCTATATTATTAAACGCTATTTAAATGAGATGTCAGACAGATTACGATAGAATACTGATGCAGGCAGTGATGCAGGTTATTTTGGCGCGAAAAATATTCTTACTCCTATTGCTTGACGTAATAAAATTTGTATAGAATCAAATTTAACTAAAGTTCAGCGTAAACAAAAGTGAATATGCAGAAGCATGACAATATATTAATGATAAAATGTGTATATATTTCTGTAAAAGAAGTTGCCAGTATACTTCACAAAGAATTACATTTGAGCGCAAGGAGATCTCTATTTGTCAATTGGTTTATTAACCCCGGTTGAACCCGGGGTCGAAGTTCAACATGTTAACATATTAATGGAAATTTACCTAATTGCATTCGGAATTCTCGTGACTTTTTATACCTTCAACGTATTTTGCATTCAGAATTCTCATGACTTTTTATACCTTCAACGTATTTTCCAAATCATTTATTTATTTAGTATATATTAACGGAAATTTACCTAATTGCATTCGGAATTCTCATGACTTTTTATACCTTCAACGTATTTTGCATTCAGAATTCTCATGACCTTTTATACCTTCAACGTATTTTCCAAATCATTTATCTATTTAGTATATTTATATATAATTTATTTATTTATTTATTTATTTATTTATTTATATATTCAAGACAACATAATTGGTCATCTCTTATAGGATTTTCAAAATTCCTTTTAGATTCTCCTCTCCCTTTTTTGATTACCTTTGAGTAGAAACGGTTTGTCTTTATAATAATCATAATAATAGTGAATAAATAATAAAATTAGACCATACTTAACTAGTGTAAAGATAAAATCCACATGCTTATAAGCTTTTAGAAAACAATATATCGATTTTGGAACGTAAAGTACAGAATTTTGCAGTCAGAATTATAAGTTGAAATAAAAGCTAATAAATAGGAATGATTGAAAACTGGCAATTTATTTATTACATTTCAATAGGAAATGTGTTTTATGTGACAATGACACACGTGACACGATATATGAATGGATATAAAGATTTAAGCTATTTTAGCAGACAAAATTTTCAAATCAAAGCTTTTCAAGGAGGCATATTTTAAAAAAAAACTCGGGAAACAGACGGAAAACCCGAAATCAGAAGAACAATTTCTTTACACTGATTTAAATTAACAAGAAAAGGATGTAATCACAACAATACGAACTATTTCATTTTAACATTGGAATTATAATCGGAGAAACGGTCCAAAGTTGGGGTATGGTGACCCTACCCCCTCCTACTTTAATTCATAAAAAAATCCCTACTGCAGAGCTTTTGTCCACACTAGGTACAAATGATGTTAATTGCCTAAGGTTACCTGGACCCAAAGACCCAGGTGGGTAAAGTTACAGCACTTTTTTAATTGAGGTCCAAAGTTGGGGTATGGTGACCCTACCCCCCCCTCCTACTTTAATTCATAAAAAAGTCCCTACGGCAAAGCTTTTGTCCACACTAGGTACAAATGATAGGCAATTGCCTAAGATTGCCTGGAACCAAAGACCCAGGTGGGTAAAGTTACGGAACTTTTTTAATTGAGGTCCAAAGTTGGGGTATGGTGACCCAACCCTCTCCCTTCTTTTATTCATAAAAAAGTCCCTACGTCAAAGCTTTTGTCCACACTTGGTACAAATGATAGGCAATTGCCTAAGGTTGCCTGGACCCAAAGACCCAGGTGGGTAAAGTTACGGAACTTTTTAAATTGAGGTCCAAGGTTGGGGTATAGTGACCCAACCCCCTCCTACTTTAATTCATAAAAAAGTCCCTACGGCAAAGCTTTTGTCCACACTAGGTACAAATGATGTTAATTGCCTAAGGTTACCTGGACCCAAAGACCCAGGTGGGTAAAGTTACAGCACTTTTTTAATTGAGGTCCAAAGTTGGGGTATAGTGACCCTACCCCCCCTCCTACTTTAATTCATAAAAAGTCCCTACGGCAAAGCTTTTGTCCACACTAGGTACAAATGATAGGCAATTGCCTAAGATTGCCTGGAACCAAAGACCCAGGTGGGTAAAGTTACGGAACTTTTTTAATTGAGGTCCAAAGTTGGGGTATGGTGACCCAACCCTCTCCCTTCTTTTATTCATAAAAAAGTCCCTACGTCAAAGCTTTTGTCCACACTAGGTACAAATGATAGGCAATTGCCTAAGGTTGCCTGGACCCAAAGACCCAGGTGGGTAAAGTTACGGAACTTTTTAAATTGAGGTCCAAGGTTGGGGTATAGTGACCCAACCCCCTCCCTTCTTTAATTCATAAAAAAGTCCCTACGGCAAAGCTTTTGTCCACACTAGGTACAAATGATAGGCAATTGCATAAGGTTGCCTGGACCCAAAGACCCAGGTGGGTAAAGTTACGGAAATTTTTTGATTGAGGTCCAAAGTTGGGGTATGGTGACCCAACCCCCTCCCTTCTTTAATTCATGAAAAAGTCCTTACGGCAAAGCTTTTGTCCACACTAGGTACAAATGATAGGCAATTACCTAAGGTTGACTGGAACCAAAGACCCAGGTGGGTATAGTTACGGTACTTTTTTAATTGAGGTCCAAGGTTGGGGTATAGTGACCCAACCCCCTCCATTCTTTAATTCATAAAAAAGTCCCTACGGCAAAGCTTTTGTCCACACTAGGTACAAATGATAGGCAATTGCATAAGGTTGCCTGGACCCAAAGACCCAGGTGGGTAAAGTTACGGAACTTTTTTTAATTGAGGTCCAAAGTTGGGGTATGGTGACCCAAACCCCTCCCTTCTTTAATTCATAAAAAAAGTCCCTACGGCAAAGCTTGTGTCCACACTAGGTACAAATGATAGGCAATTGCCTAAGGTTGCCTGGATCCAAAGACCCAGGTGGGTAAAGTTACGGAACTTTTTTAATTGAGGTCCAAAGTTGGGGTATGGTGACCCAACCCCCTCCCTTCTTTAATTCATAAAAAAGTCCCTACGGCAAAGCTTTTGTCCACACTAGGTACAAATGATAGGCAATTGCTTAAGGTTGCCTGGACCCAAAGACCCAGGTGGGTAAAGTTACGGAAGAAGCCTGGGACTCTCGCAGCACCTTACACCCACCAACTGAATGTTTAGTCCAGTTGCTAACTTTGGTATTGAAATACAATAACTTCACATTCAACAGATCTGAGAGTACTCACTGTAATTAGATGATTAAATATTGTTTTATTGGTACTAATATTGATTTTGTTATCAGTAAATTAAAAGCAAACTAAATATTCATTTTATATACATATACACATTCATGGATCTACAATCTGTCGATACCTGTATCTTGGCATTGCACAAGGTCATTTTTTTCTCTGACTGTTTATGACGTCTTTACACTAAATCCATTGGATGTTGAATGTGTACGGATTGATAATTTAGTCTAAGATGCATGATTTTTTTTATTAGTTGTTAGTGGCTTTGATCTAGCTTTCAGTAACTGTGAGTACTCTCAGATCTGTACTTAGTGTCTTTTTGTTGTTTGGATGTACAAGTACCCGGCCACGTCCACTTGTATTTGTAGTATTTGTATTTTTATCCATCTGATGAGTTAAGCCTCTTTCAACTGATTTTTATAGTTCGTTCTTATGTTGTACTGTTACACCACTGTCCCAGGTTAGGGGGAGGGTTGGGATTCCGCTAACATGTTTAACCCCGCCACATTCTGTATGTATGTGCCTGTCCCAAGTCAGGAGCCTGTAATTCAGTGGTTGTCGTTTGTTTATGTGTTACATATTTGTTATTCGTTCATTTTTTGTACATAAATTATGTCGTTAGTTTTCTCGTTTGAATTGTTTTACATTGTCATTTCGGGGCCTTTTATACCTGACTGTGCGGTATGGGCTTTGCTCATTGTTGAAGGCCGTACGGTGACCTATAGTTGTTAATTTCTGTGTCATTTGGTCTCTTGTGGAGAGTTGTCTTATTGGCAATCATACCACATCTTCTATTTTATATTCACCATTGAATGTGAAGTTATTGTATTTCAATACCAAAGTTAGCAACTGGACTAAACATTCAGTTGGTGGGTGTAAGGTGCTGCGAGAGTCCCAGGCTTCTTCCGTAACTTTACCCACCTGGGTCTTTGGGTCCAGGCAACCTTAAGCAATTGCCTATCATTTGTGCCTAGTGTGGACAAAAGCTTTGCCGTAGGGACTTTTTTATGAATTAAAGAAGGGAGGGGGTTGGGTCACCATACCCCAACTTTGGACCTCAATTAAAAAAGTACCGTAACTTTACCCACCTGGGTCTTTGAGTCCAGGCAACCTTAGGCAATTGCCTATCATTTGTACCTAGTGTGGACAAAAGCTTTGCCGTAGGGACTTTTTTATGAATTAAAGATGGCAGGGGGTTGGGTCACCATACCCCAACTTTAGACCTCAATTAAAAAAGTTCCGTAACTTTACCCACCTGGGTCTTTGGATCCAGGCAACCTTAGGCAATTGCCTATCATTTGTACCTAGTGTGGACACAAGCTTTGCCGTAGGGACTTTTTTTATGAATTAAAGAAGGGAGGGGTTTGGGTCACCATACCCCAACTTTGGACCTCAATTAAAAAAAGTTCCGTAACTTTACCCACCTGGGTCTTTGGGTCCAGGCAACCTTATGCAATTGCCTATCATTTGTACCTAGTGTGGACAAAAGCTTTGCCGTAGGGACTTTTTTATGAATTAAAGAATGGAGGGGGTTGGGTCACTATACCCCAACCTTGGACCTCAATTAAAAAAGTTCCGTAACTATACCCACCTGGGTCTTTGGTTCCAGTCAACCTTAGGTAATTGCCTATCATTTGTACCTAGTGTGGACAAAAGCTTTGCCGTAAGGACTTTTTCATGAATTAAAGAAGGGAGGGGGTTGGGTCACCATACCCCAACTTTGGACCTCAATCAAAAAATTTCCGTAACTTTACCCACCTGGGTCTTTGGGTCCAGGCAACCTTATGCAATTGCCTATCATTTGTACCTAGTGTGGACAAAAGCTTTGCCGTAGGGACTTTTTTATGAATTAAAGAAGGGAGGGGGTTGGGTCACTATACCCCAACCTTGGACCTCAATTTAAAAAGTTCCGTAACTTTACCCACCTGGGTCTTTGGGTCCAGGCAACCTTAGACAATTGCCTATCATTTGTACCTAGTGTGGACAAAAGCTTTGACGTAGGGACTTTTTTATGAATAAAAGAAGGGAGAGGGTTGGGTCACCATACCCCAACTTTGGACCTCAATTAAAAAAGTTCCGTAACTTTACCCACCTGGGTCTTTGGTTCCAGGCAATCTTAGGCAATTGCCTATCATTTGTACCTAGTGTGGACAAAAGCTTTGCCGTAGGGACTTTTTATGAATTAAAGTAGGAGGGGGGGGGTAGGGTCACTATACCCCAACTTTGGACCTCAATTAAAAAAGTGCTGTAACTTTACCCACCTGGGTCTTTGGGTCCAGGTAACCTTAGGCAATTAACATCATTTGTACCTAGTGTGGACAAAAGCTTTGCCGTAGGGACTTTTTTATGAATTAAAGTATGAGGCTACACGAATGTTTCCTGCTTAAATAAACCTATCAAAAGCTTTTGAAAGTCTGTCAAGATAGACTTTTCCATTGCTTGTTGAAAAAACGGCATCGGTGCAAGGTTAGTGATGAAAACAGTCCAAATCACTGTAAAGTAATGCATCAAATAAAGCATTGCAGAGGAAAAGTGAAACAGGTTTCTTTGATCAAAAGTTTGACCTAAGACAATGCATGATTTGTATATTGTCTCCGGCTCTTTTCACTCTCCTTATGAATGACCTCGTCAGTATGCTTGAAACTATCCCCACAGCTATGGTAAACTGTTTACTATTTGCCGACAGCGTAAGTATGAAGAGGCACTGTTTTGTCGGTTGAATATAGCAAATTTTACATAAAATTTACCAAAAACAAATACAGTGTAAAGATAGATAATTCTATTATGAATAGTGTTTTACCCATGCATATGGGGATTTCTTTTTCGCATAACGACTAAATGAAAAACTCACCGAAATCCCTCCACAGTTCATTCCTTGGGGTGTGGTGTGTCCCGCGGCATAAGCCCTGTAAGGAGGGTCCATTAGAAAACCATGTCCATGTATGGACACAACCTTTACAACCAGCAACAAAAATACAGCTTTCATCTCGGTTAAAAAAAAAAGACTGAACTAAACTTTAATAAAAATTTGCAATTTCATGCTATCCTGGTGATAATGTTCCCAATTTTGTGGGTGTTTTGCGTGTTTTGTATAGAACTATTACAGTGTTTTATTATTTTATCAAAAAGAAATACAATATATCCTTTGTTGGGCAAAAAAACGTTTAATCATAAACTATTTAATATGGGGGGGGAGGCTCTTTTTGTAGAATATTTGGGTTTATGTTGATTTTTTCTGATTTTTTACTTCTTTTCCTTTTAGCTTTTTTTCGTCACTGTAAAATATATATCAATCATAAATTATTATTGACGGTAAAACAACGGGTAGTATATTGAAAGATTATGAGTCCATCTCCTCGGTTCTTAAGAGTTAGACCGTTTTTAAAAGGACCCAGTGATTTCTTATAAATCGTATTACTTTACTGCAAGGTTATGTTAATATGTTTTCAGAACAGAAAGTTGCCATTAAATTGAAAAAGGTTGATAAACATAGTAATATGTTTTGGGGACTTATTAAGGATATATAACATTGTCCTTCGCTAAATTACAGTTACAAACTAGAAAAATTCAGTTTTTAAGCCCAAAATTGTCTTTTTTCATATTCACATTTTCTTCAAAAAAACCGGACCATTTGTTGAAAAAACCCGGACGTTTAAGATGTTGCTCTCGAAAAAACACCGACAATATAAAACACCGAATTATGAGTGAACTACTGCGTCGTTTGTGCTCAAAACATGTATAGCATTCAGAATAAGACGAACAGTCACGAATACAAGTATTATATTCGCGTGATAGCAGTAAGTCGATCTGATCGCATGTATTATCACTCGAAAAAACCTGATCTACACTCGAAAAAAGTGGACCGATTCCCTCGAAAAAAAACACGATCTCAGCCGAACACTATACCTACCGCGACCTTGACTGGCTTGAAAAAAAGAATCTCAAATCCCAAAAAGTGTTTCTTTTTCTAAAACACACAACTTTTTATAAATAACCCACATTTCCCCCTCAACGACTGTGTATTGTACTTATCAACAATTCATTTTCGTTCCTTAACTTTCATGACTTATCATATTTTAATCTCACACACCGGCACCATATATACACACCCATCTGCAAAACATGCATATGGCCGCATTGCCAATAGGTTTGACTTACTGGGATGTAGGACGGTTGGTGACAATTGTATGTCTACCGCTGTTACTTTCGTGTTGTTACGTGACCACTGTTCTCGTCTGTCTGTCGATTACATATGTTGCATTCTTCTTGTACAAGAAATCTACAATAAAACGGATACCTATATCTGGTCAAGGAGTCCTGATTACTGGATGTGATACGGGTAAGTATAGTAACTGAATGTGAACATTTTCATTTTTGTGTACATCCCTCAGCCTGCATTTGGTTAGTTGACAAAGATTCACCAACTAATTTACAGATAATCACAGAAATCTTAATATATAATTACGAATTCGATTTGTGCCTTTCGATAGTAATATGTAGGTGCACTCGATTTTCATGTATGGTGCTGTCAAACAAATGTTTTTTTTTTCCGACGAAATATCAGAAATTTTTCCGAGATTGCAGATTTATTTTATAAGGCGTCACAAATTTTTTTAACAAACATGCATATCGTTTGAACACGTATTTTCGAATTTTCCTAGACAAAATGTGAAAGTTTATAGGAATTATCATTCACTAATAACATGTAACACAATACAAAACGAAAGCAATGTCATATCAAATGAACAAAAGAAAGAATACCAAAAAGCAGAAAACCTTTATGTTGACTATTTTACAATGGATGCTGTTTTACGAACGTCCTGGAAATGAAGCGAGCAATAATAAGGTAAAACATCCTTAAAAAAGTCCGATTAAACGATAAAGGTTTGCTTAATCTGCAAATAATTATTAACTGTAATTTAAATTTTGAATTAAAGATTTTGATTATAACCGCCCAATATTTACACCATATTTAACTACCATACTATTATATCAACTTCATGCAAAGCAAGCCTTCGAAATTGTACTTCAATCGATACACCCGTATATGGACGGATCAGTTAGTGCTATTGTAGTTTACTTTTTTTCTCCAATCTGTGAATTATGACTCCATTAGATAACACAAAGATCGACTCATTTGGACGACACAAAATGTAAAATAGGATAAATAAACTATTAAACTGTCCCAGATTAGGGGGAGGGTTGGCGCGCCCACAAAAATGTTTAAATAAATCAAATACAAACGGTAATAACTGTTCTTTCCTAGATTTAGAAATTTCAGTTTTACACGGGAAACTCTACACAAAAATTTACGACAAAAGGGAAGATTTTTCGTTCACTATTGTTAATTTCCCTTTTTTTTTTGGACGTTAATGTTCCTTTGGCACCACCTTACGGTGTTTTTATATCACAAATCGTTCGCAATGCCCGTGTCTGTAGTGACGTTTTGGATTTCATGAGCGTAATTTAGTTACTGAAAAAAAATAAAAACTTTTACTAAATTTCATAGATACAAAGATTTGGTTCGGAGGTTTGGCTGTACCAGCATGTAGAAGACTTAGACTTATTACAAACGGATACCACGTCCTAATTTTTACGGTGATGTTTGTTCGAGCCCGTAAATTTAGATACGATCTGGGTAAACTTATCGCGCAATCCTTTAAATAAAATTATTCTAAAAGGTTACCAATTCAACACTGTAATTAGATCTTTGAATATTGTTTTTATCGGTATAAATATCGATTTTGTTATCAGTAAATTAAAGCCAAATTACTAGTAATATTGTTATACACAAATGCAAATTCACGGTTCTACAATCTGTCGATACCTATATTTTGGCAATGCACAAGGTCATGTTTTCTCTGACTCATTGTTAATGACGTCTTACCACAACTAAATCCATTGGATTTTGGATGTGTACTGATTGATATTTAAGTCTTAGACACATGATTTGTTCTAGTTGTTATTGGCTTTGAACTAGCTTTCAGTAACTGCGAGTACTGTCAAGCCTGTACTTTGTGTATTTTGTGTTTTTGTTAGGGCTTTTATGTGCTTTGTATCGATCTGATGAGTTAAGCCGTTTTGAACGGATTTTTATAGTGTTTTCTTATGTTGTACTGTTACAACACTATCCCAGGTTAGGGGGAAGGTTTGGCGCCAGCAAACATGTTTAACCCCGCCACGTTCTGTATATGCCTGTCTTAAGTCAGG